ATGTATGTATACATATACATATATATATATATATATACATATATATATATATATATATATATATATATATATATCTCAAATTTATTAGAAATCATAAGAAGGATTTAAATTGGTGTCAAAAACTAATTAATTTAAAATCGAGGCCATGTAGTGCATTTCGCCGGCGGCATAATCGGCAATAAAAAAATAAGTTAATACATTTTAAACATCTTTTTAGCAAAACTAACTAAAATACTGCTGTATTTCGTAAAGTGAGTGTAGATAACCGGAGACCCTTTTTACTGGAAACGAGGCATTCCATCTAGTCTTCAGGGGCGACTGCATCTTGAATCTTAATCTATACATCTATACAAATAAATGAAATGAAGTGTCTGTTTGTAATGTTAAAATAACTGTTTTTTACTAAATGCATATGAAAGTATGTACGGTACTGATAACAAAGAAGCAATTTTTAAGATGTTTGTCTGTCTGTTTTTTCCGGCTAATCTCCGAAAGGCTGGCCCGATTTTAACGGGACTTTCACTTGCAGATAGCTGATTTTATAGGGAGTAACTTAGGATACTCTTCTTTCAGAAAAAGAATTGGGGTTTCGCGCAAAAAAATTAAAACCCACGAAATCTAAGTAAATTCCACGCGGGCGAAGTCGTGGGGAACAGCTAGTTGGTGATAAATGTGGATGTCTATGGACAGCAGCATCTTCTGTGAACTGTGTGCTCATTTGTCTAACCTTATACCCACACTCACATTTTTTATAACGTTATTATTATAAGGCTCTATTCAACTACTTCAAAAGCTACTTGGAGAGCAATAGAAAGCATTGGTCATATGTTTCTCCAAACTGATTGAGAAATAAGCTGACAGCCTCAAAGATGTGATCTTAAATGGAGCAGATTTCAAGACACGGTAACTGCTGTCTGCTGTACTACGAAGGTGACACTGTAAGTTCTTAGAAAATCAAAAACTGAACAAACGAACAAGTTATTAGTTTTATTATATCTTTTCAAAATAGTTTTCAGTGACATCAATACATTAATGCATCCGACCAACCACTGAGAAAAGCACTTTGCCCACTCGTCCTTATGGGTCTCTTCGACGGCATTTTGAAATGCAGTCATTGCTTCCTCGGCGTCCATAAAACCTTCTTCTCGAAGTTTTTCTTTAATTTTCGGAAATAAATAAAATCGCAAGGTGCGAGGTTGGGGCTGTAGTGCGGGTGACCCAGTAGTTCCACGTCATCTGTGTGACATCGTCTTGTGAAGTGACATCGAAAGTCATAAAATATCATTGTACGAAAATTTTCTCGCGGTAAATTCATGCTGACGTGACACAGACAATTTTTAATTTGCCGCTAAATCGTATACAAATAAGAAATTTATAAAATACATAAGCAATAATATTGGCAAAGAGTTCCATTTTCAAAATTTGAACTTATTTTTTATTACATCGTTTATAAGAGGCCAGTTTTAAAAACTTTCAGTGTCGCCCTCGTACTTGCCAAATAGAATTGTAAATCCGTATTAAGTATGTCGGAAGGCCTTATAAGTAGTAAACCGTTAAGAGCTTACAATTTTAGGCGGTACAGGAAAATTAAAGTTACAGCCTAGTGTAAAGGTGCCAACTATGGGATACCATTTTCATTTTACGTAATTCTCGTAAAATATCACATGTAAGGAGGCAATTTTACATGATAATAAATAAGATTGAATGTATAATTCAAAACTATAAATATTTTAGCAATAGTGCTTACCGATTCTGTAATATAAGTGATGTAACAAAATAATACACTTTTTTATATGTGAGCATGAAAGTATCCTAATATGAGATACTCAGGGATCCTAATTTGAGATAATATGTCTCATTTTAGGCAACATCACTTTTGAGCTCATTTTAATGAAAAATAAAATTAATAAATATACTATTATTGACTTCAATTATGCGTTAGAGTAACAATCCGCCTTTATTTATCTTAAGAATAATAACTCAGCCGTTTGTCTGAAACCATTAACAGAGTTTGCTTTCGTTACTTATTTTTACTTGAAGCTTTTCCAAATAAATACGAAATATATTTGTATTTGTTTTTGCGTGCACACAGATGCATTCTGTTTGGAAAATCTTATGTTTTGTCAACATGTGTGGGGTTATCGTGTAACCAGGTTTATAAGCAGCCCACTGGTATCTCATATAAGGAACTCCTTATAAACCCAACAGAATCAACTGTCTTGTTTGTTATAACAAACACAATAAAATGAATTTGAATATAAAAATTCACTCTTTAACAGATATCAGTAATCTATATTTAATATAAATGTAATTATTTTTAATGATTTAACAATTGAGACCAAAAAAAAAATTTCGTATCCGTTCCCGACAAAAGTCGAGGTGATAGCGTATTTTCTCGCCTTTTTGCTGGTGCCTAAATGGTACACGACAATACCATACTGAACCATCTCATATTAGGCATTTAACCTATATTTTTCACTCCTGAGCACAGGCCTCCTCTCATTTCTGAGAGGGTTTTAAGGCAAGGAAGTATTCACCATGCTGCCCCAATGCGCGTTGGCAAGTTTCACATCATGTCTTCGAAATATTTTGTTTAATTTCTTAGATATACAGGTTTCCTGCGATTTTTTTTCACCGCCGAACACGTGGTAAATCAGCAGCAAAAATTTAAATTATCAATTTCATTGGTGCCGGCAGAAGGTCGAACCCGGGTTCCTAGCGAAATGCGCAGCAGTAATGCGAGCGCTTAACAACTGAGCTCAGAGACTGGGCGCTCTCGGTGACGATAGGCCAAAAGTATACGAAAAACAATAACTCTCTCTAACCTATTTCGTAAATCGCAGATGTGATTGAAGGTAGACTTACCTGCAATATTAGAGTAGCGAGCATAAACTAACAAAAATTAATAATTTTTAATCTGGAGGTAGCCGTGGTTAACTATGACATTGGGACGTCATACACCTCAGTCCCCCCCCCTCCCCGTGACCATGGGTACTGTAAAGTGCTCGAAACGTCAGGAATGTAAAATATGTTAATATACGCGCTAACAATTTGTGATTTTGCCCAAATGTTGGCTATTACTGAAATTATATTATTATATATCCTAAATATGTGATTTAGTCAGGTATTTAGATAACTAAGTCACGCGACCCTCATTTTCAAATAAAACATATATCGAATGTTATATTTTCACCAGTAAATACTTCTGCAAATATTAAAGTATTAGTCGCCTAAAGGGAAACTTTGGTATTACGTCGTCTGCTGAAAAGCCGTTATGTAAATCTCTCCTTATCGAAAATTTACTTTCTGATATCGAAATCTACATGAAAAGTACTCCCTAAAGACTAGGTCAGTTTATTAACTTCTCCTTAATCTACAATAATTGGATCAAAGATTCATTACCTACTTAACGAGTTATACATTACACAATTATTTGTTATTAAGACGGAATATTTGGTTTTAACTTAGATTTAATTATAGAGACCATTATATAATTTTAATACCTAACTAAATTGTATAATTTTAATAAATAAACCACAGACTAAGAAAACGTACGACAAATACTCTTACCAAATTAATCATGTAATTTTCAGATTTCATACTCAAGTCACTAATGTCATGAGTCAGTTGTTCCTTGTTTAAAAATAAGATTTAAATAATTAATTGTGCAATGCCTCGTTTGTTAGTTAACGGGGTGCACCGCGTGAAGGGTATGTTGATACTTGAAGAAGTCGACGGTATTGGTGACACTCTTTAGTATGAAATTGAAATGACACACGTACTTGCAGTCCACTTGATGGTAAGTAGCTACTGCAGCTCTAGGACACCTGCGACTAACTTCAAATAAAGTAGGCTACAGATGCGTGTCACATCTGAGGACTAAGATGAAATACCTCGCAAAAGAGAGCCATAAGACCAATTTGTAACCAAGGTCCGAAGGAATCCCTTAGAGAAAAAATTAAAGAAATAAATATATTAACTTTGGCCTCTCAATATATTTACGAGATCTTATTGTATGTACCTACACAAAAACAAAAATATGTATGTGATGTACATTCTGTAAATACTAGGAACAAGAACAAGTTAGTTATACCAGTTACTCAACTCCAAAGAGTCGGTAATTCCTTCATGGGGCAATGTATACGCTTTTACAACAAAGTCCCAGAAAATATGCAGACCTCTTTAACAAAAGGTTTAAATTATTTATTAAGCGACAATTGTCTAGTAAGGTTATTATACTACTAAAGATTACATGACCCCTGGGAATGAGGTGATCACTACTTCTAAATGTTTTCATAATAATTGTACAAATTATTATATTGTAAATTGTGCATTTTAAAAAAAATTCCCGCTGGGTTTCTTTCTGATTCTTCCCAGGACAGAGGTTCAAGGTAAGTTTACCTCATAATATATATATATATATATATATATATATATATATATATATATATATATATATATATATACAAACAACACTCAGAGTTATTATTTTCTGCTCCACTAATTGTGTTGCAAATAGCAAAGTTTACGCTTGTGGCAAAGTTGCCCTCCCATTTTTCAATTTTTCATACAAACTTGAAAATATGTGTCAGGGTTGTCAAAAACGCTTGATGTTAAAATCTTGATGAAAATTGTTTCTTAAGCCAAAAATGTAACATATATGAAACAAAAATACTCTCGTCTAAAATGTGAAATCAAATTGGTGCAATAGTAAGCTTAAATCAGTTATAGTATACATAAAAGTAGTTTGTCATTTTTTTCTAGTCATCATCACGAACCGTAATAAAATGATGTCAGGTAAAAAAAATATTGTAATCAATCTAAATATTGTTTTTCCACAATAGCAAAACATTCATATTCATCAAAATTATATGCATGCATATTAATATCAATGCATTAAGTTGATATTATGAAAAATACTGAGTAGTAATAATATCATTAATGCCCGACAACACAGTAAAAATAATATATAGATTTCTCTTTTCTTTTCCTTCACTTTTGATAAAGATGAATTGATTGACGACTCATTTGGCAAAATCGCTCTAATGGGATGCTACGGTTAAACATGCCACAGGTAGAGCTACGCTGCAGCTATATTATGTACAACCATAATATAACTGCAACGTGGCTCTACGGACACGAATGGGTCGGCTCGTCGGGTAGGACCACGCTCTCTCAGAGTATCAGCGTAAAATACCAGTTTAATGCTGCTGTGTTTCGTATGGTGAGTGTAGAGAACCGGATACCCTTTTTACTGGAAATGAGGCGTTCCATTTTAGTCCTCGGGGGTAACAACGCATCTGCATTTTGAAATCGAGGATTTTAAATCGAGGATAAATGTAGATGTCTATGGGCCACAGCATCCACTCACCATCAGGTGGACTGTGTGTTCGATTGTCACCCGTATTCTAAAGTAAACATCGATACAAACATACACACAGCATTTCAAGTACAGAACCCTTTCTTTAAATAGTCGAAATCGGTTAAACATATAGGTTTAAAGTGAAAAGTGAAAACCCTTGGTTGAAGCAAAACATGTCAAAGTAACCGTCACAGATGCATCACTGATATGGTAACTTTTCCAAGTTAGTTTTATAGATAAATGTTAAGACTAACATTGAATAAAACTACTTTTACGGATTCTATCGCGTTTAATTAACTTATTTTTATTAATTCCCGACGCGTCGGGTGCTTTACAGCACCCATGGTCACGGGGGACTGAGGGGATTGACGTCCCGATGTTAGAGTTAACCAGGAGTACGAAACTCTAAAATTAACATACACCCGTTATCGCAACTTCTGCAATAACTTATTGAGAAAAATAAAGAGAGAATACGAAGAACAAAAGCTAATTAAGGCCAAAAGTAATCAGGAATGAATTTAAAAAAAAATGAAATTAGGATATTTTTTTTTAATTTCAATAGCCTCACGTATCATCCTTGGCAAGAATCGATGTTCTTTGGCAAGAATTTGTGGTTTATCAAATCTAATGTAATGGCGGGAGCCGTCTAAGATATGATCTCCAACTGCAGACTTCCCGGAACGTTGGTGCTTCACGTCAGTTCGGGAAATAATAAAAGTAAGTTAATTAAAGGGGATAGAATTTTTTTTATAGGAGAGGGGGCAAACGAGCATGCGGCTCACCTGATGGTAAGTGACTACCGCCGCCCATGAACAACTGCAACACCAGGGGAATCGCAGACGCGTTGCCGGCCTTTTAAAAATGTGTACGCTCTTTTCTTGAAGGTCCCTAAGTCGTATCGGTCCGGAAAAATCGCTGATGGTAATCGATTCCACAATGAAGTTGTGCGAGGGAGAAAACTTCTTCTAAATCGCACAGTGGTGGACCGCCAATCATCCAGATGGTATGGATGGTATCGCGAGTTTTGTCGCAATATGCGATTGCGAAATTGAGCGGCTGGAATTAGTCTGAACAATTCCTCAGAGCACTCCCCATGGTAGATGCGAAAGAAAATGCAAAGGGATGCAACATCTCTTCGCAGTGCCAATGAATCGAGCCGATCGGTAAGGGCTCGGTCGTCGACAATTCGAGCCGCTCTGCGTTGGATGCGGTCAAGTGGAAGGAGCTGGCACTGGGGAGCCCCTGCCCAGAGATGGGAACAGTATTCCATGTGAGGCCGAACTTGCGCCTTGTAAAGTAGCAGGCGGTGTGCCGGCATGAAATACTGTCCCGCTCTGCTGAGCACGCCAAGCTTTTTAGAGGCCAATTTGGCCTTCCCTTCCAAGTGACCACGAAACTGCACGTCACTCGATATGTCGACTCCGAGGATACCGATACTGGCAGAGGCAAGAAGGGGAGTGCCTTGAAACTGAGGAGATACGACAAAGGGGTTCTTTTTAGCGGTAAACGCGCAAACTTGTGTCTTCTGAGGATTAAATTGGACTAGATTTAGTCGCCCCCAATCCGAGACTTTGTTCAGCAAAGACTCGACTTCAGACACAAGTTTGTTCCGGTACTCAGCGACGTTTTCCCGAGAAATATTGGCACGGCCGGTATATAGAGCATAACCAGTACTGTCATCCGCATAGCAATGAATGTTACCAGTTAGCAACATATCATTGATATGCAGAAGAAACAGCGTTGGTGATAGCACACAGCCTTGTGGAACACCAGCGTTAATAGGCTTGTAGTCAGAGCATGCACCGTCTACAACGACCTTGATGCTCCGATCTGCAAGGAAGCTGGTGATCCAATTGCACAATTTCTCGGGAAGCCCATAGGAAGGGAGCTTCGAAAGAAGCGCTTTATGCCAAACCCGATCGAAGGCCTTCGCAATGTCCAGACTAACGGCCAACGCCTCCCCCTTGGACTCTACTGCCTGCGCCCATCTATGGGTCAGGTAGACCAGAAGATCACCAGCTGATCGACCCCGACGAAAACCGTATTGGCGGTCACTAATCAGCTGGTGATCCTCAAGGTACCGGATGAGCTGGCAGTTAATAATGGATTCCATTATTTTGGAGAACAAGGAGGTGATCGCGATAGGCCTATAGTTGGATGGGTCTGAGCGGTCGCCTTTTTTAGGGATCGGGTGGACAAAAGCTGTCTTCCATGAATTCGGGACTACGCCTTGGGAGTAGGAGTACCGGAAAAGACGCGTTAGGACCGGTGCCAACTCCGGAGCACACGTCCTCAGCACAATTGGGGGGATTCCGTCAGGCCCACTCGACTTCTGGATGTCCAGGGAGAGCAGTGCTTTGCGAACCGAGCGCTGTGAGAACAGCACATCCGGCATGGAGCACTCACACCGCGGGATGGTCGGCGGTGTTTTCCCCCCGTCATCAAGTAAAAGTAGTTTTATTCAACGTGTAGTGTTCGTGTAAATATAAGAAATCATTAAGACCAACATGTTAAAAACGGTATATTACATTTGATAATCATTAATATTACATTACTACAAAGATATAAATATCTGCATTCAGTATTTCAAACGAAAATTAACAAAGTTCTGGAGCACAAAGACAAAGAGGTTATTTCGCCGGCATAATTCCGCGTTAAAATAAAATGCCAAAATTAATTCTCATGTTGCTATATTGAAAGCAATGCTGTCAATTAGTTATTATATTTTCATCCAAAAAATGGCATATCCCGAAAAACGTTACTAGCAGAGTTACCTTCCATTCGTAAAGTTCTTAGACTTGACTGTACATAAATTTCACAAGGACAAACAGCCAGATCTGGAACAATTGTTTGTAGGCCATACAAATATTATAAAAATTGTCCCGAGCGGGATTCGAACCCGCGGGTCTCATCGCCCTAACTCATTGCTAAGCCATTGCGCCACGAAGCCGTCAATTTTGAGGCTTTTGAGATTTTATAAGATAGAAATGTGTCTGTCGTGGTCTGTGATTCTTAAGGACCTTAAAAATTGAGGTTGGATCCAGATGACTGCTATCTGACTTTATTCTGTTCTTCATCAATTCAAAATAGTCCACAGCTGGTCATGAACCTCCTCCACTAGGCGGTAAGTAAGTTAGCGACTTTTGCCAATACGCTTATCTACATCTGTGATTTGCAAGACAGAAATAGTCATCTATCGGTGGACATGGATTTCCTCTAATCTGAGATGTGGTTGAGGAATGAAATTTAGCGATGGATTTAGCGAAGGGACTATACCAAAACTGTCTTATAGTATATATATAAAAATAAAAGATTGCAAATAAAAAATTTCGAGGAAAATACCGCAATATAAAATTGCAGAATCAAAGTAACTTTGAACTTAAGCGCCATTCAGAATTTCACTTAAGCATTTTTCATTGAAATTCAAGGAGATGAATGTTACGTAACGGTGTAGAACGATTTTATGTGTGATACCCGTCTTACACGTCTTAAAATAAATAAAGAAAGTTTATATTAAGCCCACTTCCTATATTTATTGACAACATTTATTAAATAACTGATAAATCGATATTAATATTCTACACCATTCTCATGAGAAACATACATGCTACCGCTACTATAACAATACCGCCAGCGAAGAACACGCCATAGAATGTAGCATCAGAATAATTTAACTCAGCATTCACAATGGCATCGTTTTCACTATTTTCATTCTCTTCTACATCCGGAGCTTCTGTTTCAGTTTTTTCCACTGTTTGCACCAAAACCGGTTCAGTCCAAGACGATTCTCCAGCATCATTGACTGCACGTAAACGTATCCAGTATTCCGTTTCTGGTTCCAAATTTGTCAAAGTAACTAACAAACCTGGGAAAATAATAATAAGTGAGTATGAAATGACACTGTGTATGCATTTCTTTCAGTTTTTAACTTTTACAAAATAAAGAAACTTCTAGAAGTGCATCAATATAAGTAATTAAAACAAAGCATTCCCTTCAATTCACCCCGAAGCAGTTTTCACAGTTTATAACCCTCTCTAAGGACAGTGTGACGTATTGAAGATTTGGCATTTTTATTATCTTTTATACCTTTGCTATTATTTTATTTTTCCATTATGGCCGGAAATTAGAATCTATACACTATAGGTAACATATTATAATTATAATAAAATAATAAAAAAATACAATATAATTAAAGATGTTCATAACAACGCACACACTCATGCACTATACGAGTATATAATTCTGTGCTGCCCAGATCTGTCAAAATCCGCCAAGTCGAGCCAAAAAAGCGGCACGGCCGTACCATTTTAACGGTGGTAGAGCCACGCAGCAGTTTTTGCTGTTGCACGTATGGGCCGGCTCGAGCCGGGTTAGTACCACGACCTCATAGAATACCGGCGTGAAGTGGAAGCTCTGCTTCCGCGTTTCGACTGGTGAGTGCAGGTGACCGGAGGCCCAATTCCCCCCCCCCCCCATCAACATGGTAGCGGAATTACGTCATAAACTACCCCAGGAGGTTACCAGTACCCCTGGAGAATCCCTCGCTGAGCATCCACGACTATTCCACTCCTGAGCGTGGGTGCTCAGGCTGCCCCGCGTATTCTGGGGGGGGGGGGGGGGGGGCAAAATTCCGCTCAACACAATAACTGCTCGGGGCAAACTGAGCAACAAGACCAAGGCGACCCCTGCCACGCTATCCATGAATTTCTGCAACATCAGGGGAATTCACTCGAACCTAAACGCCGTCCACTACCATCTTGAGATGGCGAAGCCGGCCTTGCTCTTTCTGACCGAGACGCAGGTGTCCACTCCGGCTGATACTTCGTATCTCTCCTACCCGGGGTACAAATTGGAGCACTCCTTTGTGCCTCGGGCTGGAGTTTGCGTGTATGTCAGAGAGGGCATCTGTTCTCGACGCCTCGGCAGTCTTGAAGGTTCGGACCTGTCCATCCTTTGGCTACGCGTAGACAGCGACGACCATCCGCGCCTCGACCTCTATAGGTCACATAGCGGTAATGCCGAAACAGACCGACTCATTGACCACGTCCAAATGACTACAAATTCCTCGCTACAACAGGTCCCATCCGCAGAGATCGTGATCCTTGGCGATTTTAACGCCCACCACGCCGAATGGCTCGGTTCACGTTTAACCGATCATGCGGGGAGATCTGTTTATGACTTTGCCTTGGCATATGGTCTGACACAACTGGTTACATCGCCTACGCGGATTCCAGATGTTGAGGATCATACACCTTCCCTGTTGGACCTTCTGCTGACCTCTCATCCGGACGGATATCAGGTTTCCGTCGATACCCCTCTTGGCTCTTCGGACCATTGTCTGATCCGGAGTGTGGTGCCACTCACGTTCCCCTCGCGGTTGCGTTCTGCAGGTTGCCGCCGTGTTTGGCATTACAGGTCGGCGGATTGGGACGGAATGCGGTCTTTCTTTGCTTCCTACCCATGGGGGCGGGTTTGCTTCTCGCCGGATGATCCCAGCGCTGTTGCTGACTCTGTCACTGATGTGGTACAACAGGGAATGGAACTATTTATTCCATCATCTGGTACCCATCGTAGGCAGATCTCAGCCTTGGTTTGTTCGCTCCTGTAAGACTGCTTTACGCAGTAAACAGGAGTGTTATCAAGCCTGGGCTGCGGCTTCGGCGACTCGGGATGTAAACACCAGCATACTTAAAAAGAAGTATAACTTCGACTCCAGGTCCTTCAAAAGAGTTATTGCCAAGGCAAAGTCAGAGCACATAGGCAGAATTGGCAAGAAACTAGTTCGCCTTCCTTCGGGAACCCGTGCATTCTAGTCTCTCGCCAAGGCTGTCCAAGGGAATTTCTGTAAACCATCACTACCATCTCTGCACAGGGAGGACGACTCACTGGCCCACGACGCAAAAGAGAAAGCTGACCTTTTAGGTTCCCTTTTTGCGTCCAACTCGACTGTTGATGACGAGGGGAAAACACCCCGACCATCCCGCGGTGTGAGTGCTCCATGCCGGATGTGCGGTTCTCACAGCGCTCGGTTCGCAGAGCACTCCTCTCCCTTGACATCCACAAGTCGAGTGGGCCTGACGAAATCCTCCCAATTGTGCTGAGGACGTGTGCTCCGGAGTTGGCACCGGTTCTAACGCGTCTTTTCCGGTACTCCTACTCCCTAGGCGTAGTCCCGAAATCATGGAAGACAGCTTTTGTCCACCCGATCCCTAAAAAAGGCGACCGCTCAGACCCGTCCAACTACAGGCCTATCGCCATCACCCCCTTGTTCTCCAAAATAATGGAATCCGTTATAAACTGCCACCTCATGCGGTACCTTGAGGACCACCAGCTGATTAGTGACCACCAGTACGGTTTTCGTCGGGGTCGATCAGCTGGTGATCTTCTGGTCTACTTAACTCATAGATGGGAGGAGGCAGTAGAGTCCAAGGGGGAGGCATTGGGCGTTAGTTTGGACATTGCGAAGGCCTTCGATCGGGTTTGGCACAAAGCGCTTCTTTCGAAGCTCCCTTCCTATGGGCTTCCCGAGAAATTATGCAATTGGATCACCAGCTTTCTTGCAGATCGGAGAATCAAGGTCGTTGTAGACGGTGCATGCTCCGACTACAAGCCTATTAACGCTGGTGTTCCACAAGGCTGCTTGCTATCACCGACGCTGTTTCTTCTGCATATCAATGATATGTTGCAAGCCGGTAGCATTCATTGCTATGCGGATGACAGCACTGGTGATGCTCTATACACCGGCCGTGCCAATATTTCTCGGGAAAACGTCACCGAGTACCGGAACAAACTTGTGTCTGAAGTCGAGTCTTTGCTGGACAAAGTCTCGGATTCGGGGCGACTAAATCTAGTCCAGTTTAATCCTCAGAAGACACAAATTTGCGCGTTTACCGCTAAAAAGAACCCCTTTGTCGTATCTCCTCAGTTTCAAGGTACTCCCCTTGTTACCTCAGCCAGTATCGGAATCCTCGGCGTCGACATATCGATTAACGTGCAGTTTCGTGGTCACTTGGAAGAGAAGGCCAAATTGGCCTCTAAAAAGCTTGGCGTGCTCAGTAGAGCGGGACAGTATTTCATGCCGGCTCAACGCCTGCAACTTTACAAGGCGCAGGTTCGGCCTCACATGGAATACTGTTCCCATCTCTGGGCTGGGGCTCCCCAATGCCAGCTCCTTCTGCTTGACCGCATCCAGCGCAGAGCGGCTCGAATCGTCTACGACCGAGTCCTTTCCGTTCGGCTCGACTCATTGGCACTGCGAAGAGATGTTGCATCTCTTAGCATTTTCTTTCGCATTTACCATGGGGAGTGCTCTGAGGAATTGTTCGGATTATTCCCAGCCGCCAAATTTCACGAACGCACATCGCGGCAGAACTCCCGATACCATCCACACCATCTGGATGATTGGCGGTCCACCACTGTGCGATTTAGAAGATGTTTTCTTTCTCGCACAACTTCCTTGTGGAATAGTTTACCACCAGCGATTTTTCCGGACCGATACGACTTAGGGACCTTCAAGAAAAGAGCCTACTCCTTTTTAAAAGGCCGGCAACGCATCTGCAATTCCCCTGGTGTTGCAGTTGTTCATGGGCGGCGGTAGTCACTTACCATCAGGAGAGCCGCATGCTCGTCTCCTATAAAAAAAAATCCTTTCCTCGAAGCAGTTCAGGCCATTTTCGACCCCCTATAACTTCTTTGTGGATAAAACTTGAAGCCTGAGTTTTCAGTAACCAAGCAAGCATTGTATAGATACAGTATATTTCAAATTTTATTCAATTTGAACCAGTAGTTTAAGAATTATAACTAGTCAAAGTTTTTCAGTTTTGTCACTCACTGACTGACCGATCATCAAAACTCTAAGGCACTTCTAGCAGACGTAGAAGCTTGAACTTTGAAATACAATAAGTGTTTAGTGTGTAAATCAAGGAAAAATTAAAATATTTTGTAATTTCGGTCCAGTGTTCTAGATACACCAACTGCATAAATATAAAATAAACATAAAAAATTTTTAATATTGATTAGGGTCACTATAAGATGTTGTTAGGTTAGCTAATTACGTAATAACTTGAGACAGAAGAACCCTTAAGTAGGGACTGAATAAATTAACCGACTTGGTATTACATGGATCTCACAACTTTTTACCGTAGAAGAACTGAGTTGCGAGACTTGGTTTTTTTTAGAAGTTATGTTTTTGATGGCATAGCTAGTATTCGTTAAGACTGTTCGTCGTGACTGAAACGCAGTCTGGAAGACATATTTATCATTAATATTCACACAATATATTTGTTTTGTAGAAACAACGGTTTACAGCAATACTATCATGATCTGGTAGTTAGCACAATAGTCAAGTTATCATCAAATATAACAATAGTTTTATGCCAAAAAAATAAAATCACAAAATACTATGGTATAGATATTATGGTCACAACAAGCTAACTATATTTTATTACTAGTAATAGGCCTTATAGTACAATACACAATAGGCCTCATAGTGGGCCAAGCTTTTACAAAATTACTGAGAATTACCTTGGGCTACCAGTATACCTTAGCATATTCAATCATTGATAGCTGATACAAAACATTCAAACGCACGTGGTAAATCAGTCCAAAAATTTGTGTGCTCGGCGGTGAAGGAAAACATCGTGAGGATACCTGCATATCTGAGAAATGAGAAAAAAAATTCGAAGGTATGTGAAGGTCGCCAACACGCATTGGAGCAGCGCGGAGGGTACTTCCTTGCCCTAAAACCCTCTCAGAAGGAGAGGAGGCCGGTGTCCAGCAGTGGGACGTATATAAGCTGTAACTTTATCTTTAACCACTAATATTTTGTATCAAAAACTTAGCTCCTCCTGGGTTTTTAAGCCATAACCTACAGGTTAGTATTTAAGTACTCTGTAATAAATATAGCTTAAATGTCTCTACCTTCGCCATCTGTATCCACATCTTCAGTAGAGTCCAAATCTAATTCTACAGCCTCGGATTTCCGCCAGTCGGCTTCCTTTAGAGTTTCTATTTTCCTTCTTGGCAAACTTCTTTTTTTTAAATATTGAACCTCTATTACTGTAAATACAAATAAAAAGTATTGAAAAAAAATGATGAAAGCAGAGTTTTTATGCGAAATCCTAATGATATATGTACTAAGATAATGAAAAGAATTTATAATACACTAACAATTTTATTTGCATTTTACGTGATTCTATAGTATAGTGTCAAAAAGATACTAAATGTGAATGAACATTTTTTATAAATGTAATTTTTAGGGTTCCGTAACCAAAGGGTAACAAACGGGACCCGTCTGTCTGTTAGCGGGCTGTATCTCAGGATCCGTAATAGGTAGACAGTTGAAATTTTTACAGAATGTGTATTTCTATTGCTGCTATAACAAAAAATAATAAAAATAAAAATAACTTAAAAATTAAAGGGGGCTCCCCTATTAGGAACTTGTGTGATGTTACGAAACTCCTCATGCGCGAGTCCAACTCGCACCTTTTTTTAAGGGAATTCGTTAAAGAGTAGACAGTTTTTATTTTTTAAGTATAGTTGTTAAGGATTTTTATGTATTTATTTGTACCTATAACAGTACACAACAGGTTAATAAAATATTGCCACGTTTTTATTATCTCGCTTTCGTGTGTGTTCGGTCAAATTTAGTAATTTATTTTAAACTAACTTGCCGATGAGCCAGACTTAAAATTTTGAACATACGATTATCTAAGAATCAGATGACAGAATATGAAAAAAAAATTATTATATTATTTTTAGTTGCTTTAAAAACGTGGTACTTATATCAAAAAATTATACATGTTTTATTACTTTCGAATCGTTGAAAGTACAGCCGTAGACTATACTGGCGTATACCACGTTATAAAGTAAAGAGTAAAAAAAAAGAGTTTTAACACTCTGATAAAGTACAAAGTAGCAAAGAAAGTTTACCTTTCACCGGGAACATTATCGCTTCGGCCCACGAAACATACAATTGCACCCTATCATGGCCTGCATCTTGAGTTATTACCTAAAAGCATATTAAAATAATTAACAGAAGTATTTACGGACAGAACTATACGAAAGATAGCACTGGTGATGCTTTATACACCGGCCGTGCCAATATTACTCGGGAAAACGTCACTGAGTATCAAAACAAACTTATGTCTGAAGTCAATACTTTGCTGAACAAAGTCTTGGATTGCGGGCGACTAAATCTAATACAGTTCAACCCTCAGAAAACAGAAGTTTGCGCGTTTATCGCTAAAAATAAACCCTTCTCGGTTTAGGAGAATCCCCTTGTTGCCTCAACCAGTATCGGAATCCTTAGCGGCGACATATCGACTGACGTGCAGTTTCGTGGTCACTTGGAAGAGAAGCCTAAATTGGCCTCAAAAAGCTTGGCATGCTCAGCAGAGTGGGACAGTATTTCTTGCCGACACACCACTTGCAATTTTACAAGGCGCAGGTTCGGCCTCACGTGCTGGCTGGGGCTCCCCAGTGCCAGCTCCTTTCACTTGACCGTATCCAGCGCAGAGCGGTTCAAATCGTCGACGACCGAGTTCTTTCTGATCCACTCGATACAATGGCACTGCGTAGAGATGTTGCATCTCTTTGCGTATTTTACCGCACCTATCGCGGGGAGTGCTCTGAGGAATTGTTCGGACTAATTCCAGCCGCTCAATTTCACCATCGCACATCACGACAAAACTCGCGTTACCATCCATACCATCTGGATGATTGGCGGTCCACCACTGTGCGATTTAGAAGTTTTCTCACTCGCACAACTTCCTTGTGGAATCAATTACCATCAACACATACCATCAGGTGAGCAGCTTGCTCATTTGCCCCCCACCCACTCCACCTATAAAAATGAATTTAAAAGGTACATGTGTTAGTATTTACCTTATAAGGCGTCTTTGGTCTTTCCAACTTGAGTATAGCAAATACTTTATACGTCTCTCCATACTGGTTACTAGCACGACATCTATATCTTTGAGCGGACGTCGAAACATTAGAAGGCAATGTTAACACGGCTTTAGTACCATCTTGTTTCAGATTTACTCGTTCTTCGGGAAACTCAAATAGCGTTTCGCCTAAATCTCGGAACCACGTGTAAGTTGGTGTAGGAAATCCATTCGCAGAACACACTAGATCAACACTGAAGCAAACAAGTAGCAGTATTGGTGTAAATATAGATAATAATTTCTTATATTTACACGAATACACATTGAATAAAACTAATATAATAATAATATAATACGCATTTTGTCGCGTTTAATTTAATTTATTTTAATTCCCGACGTTTAGAGTGCTTTACAGCACCATTATTACTAAAAGTAACAATTAAAATGAGTAATTAAAACTTAAATTAAACGCAACAAAATCTGTAAAATTTATTTTTTATTTATTTATTTAAAAATCTTATTGCGCTTAAAGTGTACAATTGGCGGACTTAATGCCTTTAGGCATTCTCTACCAGTCAACCACGAGCTAAGCAGAGAAACTTAAGCAGGTGCCATAAAAACATGAGAATATCTATATAGGTACGTGTAAATACAAATATATATATATATATATATATATATATATATATATATATATATATATATATATATATATATATATATATATAACTACAAATAACCTAAATACTATAACTCTATACGTACCTGACAAATATCATACTCAATTTTTTTTAAATAAGTACTTATTAGGATTTTAAGCATACTTAATTTACGAACATATACAAAATGGATTTTATTCAACTATTCTACAGCTTTGTAGAAATGTGGAATATGTTTTCATTTCTGGATATTTTGACAGAAATAAAACACAGGAGCATTGGAAGCATTAGTTAGGGTGTTGTTAATGGAAACTAAATGTTTTCATCGTTCGACTGGAGATAATAAAAGCAAAATCAAACTTGTTGCATTTTAAATGACAAGTTATGTGATATATTGTGACAAGACAAGACTTGTATACTATCGTAAAAATGCGTTAAGAATAATTAATTACCTCGGCCTGTTAGTTTTTTTTTTCTTTGTAGTTTTATATTTGGTAAAAATACTACAAGACGGGGTTATACCGCCATCCATCGGAGGCCAAGATCTTCTCGCCATTATTCACCAAGTGAATAGGAATATACTTTTTGATTTCTATAAGTCGCCTCTACCTCCCCTCCTGAGATGAGGGGAAAACTGTGTCTTAAGATAAGTGTAAAACGCGGTTCACGAAAATCTTAGGTTGGACTGCTATCCTATATATCTTATTTATATTTGCTGAGTATGTAACAGCCATTAGCCACATACTTATAAACTTAGATTTTTCTTAAATGTGAAAACCTTTAAATCAAGGTACCTACCTACTTTAGGAGGACTTAAGTGGTATTCTCTGTCAGACAACACTGGCAGATGTGGAAAAATGAATTTAGTGCATATTAAAATAGAAATTAAGGTACCTATTAGAAAAAGTATCAGATTAATACATCAAGTTTATAATATGAAAACATTGAACTAACAAGTAAGACACAGAAATTATCATATTTAGAATTTTTAATATTATTTTTGAGGTTTCGCTAGACTTATCTTTATCCTTGGAATATCATTTGCTTTCATTATTTATTCCAATAATACTAACACAACGCTGAAAAACATGAAAACTGTTGACTCCTGGTTTTAACACATGCAGTTATAATATTAATATAAAAATATTTGATATTAAGTATCATTCCATGCTATGTCAAATATCATACCTCTCATTATCTTGCTGATAAACAATTTCCGTATCATTTGCATCCTCAAACACCGGAGCATCTAAAATAAAGGATGTAATAATAACAACAGCTAATTTCAAAGGCCATTTCTGTTAAATACTATTTAACAAATTACGACTCATTAAAAGTCCACTTTATCAGCTCTACAGCAAATACGGATAAAATAATAAATGTAAAGGCAATAACATTGAATAATATAATTATTAATAACACAAAGTTTAATCCCTACTATATTACCCTTCCAAAATGTAGAACAATATTAAAATAATACAATTCTTCTATTTCATGGATACACGCCATCTGTTCGCTTTACGTGAAATTATTGCAAACGATCACTTTAAATTTTATTCGTTCACTTTAATTTCTCCGTATAGATGTCGCTATGCGAAACTATGGTAAAATGCTTTGCTATTAATTATTTAAAATAATATTAATTTGTTATTAGTGATACTGCGTAGGAAGTTTTTTCAACCAAAATCATAATTCCATAGTAAGGGTAAGGGGGTAATATCTTCCCTGGCTGAATCCTGGAAAGATTTGGACGCTTCCACCTACGTTGTACGTGGTAGAGCCACGATGCAGCTATATTACTGGTATAGTTGTTGCACGAATAGGTCAGCTCGACCGAGGAAGGACAACGCTCTCGAAGAATCATCATCATCATTACAGCCTTTCATAAGTCCACTGCTGAACATAGGCCTCCCACAAGGAATGCCACAAATCACGGTCCTGAGCCACCTGCATCCATCGACTTCCTGCATGTCTTACCATGTCGTCACTCCATCTCGTGGGGGGTCGCCCTACACCCTGCCTACGGGTACGAGGCCGCCACTCGAGAACATTTCTTCCCCATCAGTTGTCGGTTCTTCCAGCTATATGGCCGGCCGATTGCCACTTCAGTTTACTAATCCGTTGGGCTATGTCGGTTACCCTGGTTCTACTGCGGATATACTCATTTCTAAGTTTATCACGCAGAGAAACCCCGAGCATAGCCCTCTCCATAGCTCGCTGAGTGACCTTGAGCTTCCTCATACGGCCAGCAGTGAAGGACCACGTCTCAGATCCGTAAGTCATCACTGGCAACACGCACTGGTTGTACAATTTCGTTTTAAGGTTTTGAGGTATGTCTGACGAGAAGATGTGTCGTAGTTTCCCGAACGCTACCCAGCCGTGTTTAATCCGTCGATTGACCTCTCGGTCGAAGTTGGACTTACCTAGTTGGACTATTTGTCCCAGGTAAACATACTCGTCAACAACTTCGAGCTTAGTGCTCCCAACAACTACCGGCATAGGTGTGACATGGACATTAAACATGACCTTTATTTTTCCTAAGACATATTCGTTCGGAGACACTATTGAGGTCATTGAGCATGGTGCTTAGGTCCACCAGTGATTCTGCCATAAGGACTATATCGTCGGCAAATCGAAAGTGAGTGACTCACTCAAAATCTCAGGTGTCCCGGAAACGAAGCTGCCACATTCGGTCTTCAGCTTTGACAGATGGCTCTTTCTGGCAGACAGATCTCTGGCAAAGACTTTGGAGTCTTGGTTCCGCTCGACCGCTTCTTCAATACAAGCTGTATTGAAGTTGCGTAAGTCCCGCCGCATGCATTTGGAGATCTGTCTTTTCAGTTGCCTGTATGCTGTCAAATCTGTTGAAGAATGTAGCTTCATCTAACAGCCATGAGATTGAGAGTGTGATCGGAGAGTTTTTGGGTTCTTCTGCGGCGGGTCTTGCAGAACTTAGCTCCAACCGCATGGACAGTTTCCACGAGCTTGTCATTCATATCGTCCACTTCATTGCAATCTTCTAGGCACTGAACACGGTTTTCTAATTCGAGCTGAAAGGTTTCTGGACTTTGGATTAGAGCACGAGGGGGACGGAGCGTTGACTTCATTAGACTACACCTCTCCAATTTAACGTTTAGGTTCAGTGTGCCTCTAACCATTCGGTGATCACTACCAGTTTTCACCCTCGCGATCACTACCAGTTTTCACCCTCACGATCACTGACACATCACTGAACAGTTGTTTTCTGATCGTCATAATGAAGTCAATCTCATTTTTTGTCGAACCGTCGGGGCTCGACCAGGTCCACTTCCTGTGGGGCCACTTCTGGAAGAAATAGTTCATCATAAAGAGTCCCTTTCTTCATGAAGTCGGCCAGATACTGGCCCCTTGGGTTCCGTTGCCCTATTCCAAATTTCCCTACTTTCAGCTAACCGTTCTCTCTTGTGCCTAGTTTTGCATTGAAGTCTCCCATTAACACCGTATAGTGGGATTTGGAGGAATGCATGGCTCTAGAGATATCCTCATACGTTTCCTCCACCTCCTCATCGGGGTGTGCCGAGGTTGGTGCGTAAACCTGTATGACCTTCAGCGAATACCGTTTGGTGATTCTGAGTATAAGGTACGCAACCCTCGTTGACACACTCTCTATCTTTACAACGTTGTTAACGAGAGACTTGTGGACCATAAATCCGACACCTCCTTGGGACAGATGGTCACCCTCCCGGTGATAGAGCAAGTTGCCGGATTCGAGGATTACCGTGTCTTCCCCCTCTCTTCGGACTTCGGATAATCCTATAATATGCCAGCTTAACTTGTCTATCTCTTCTTCCAGCTTCACGATCTTCTCGTCAGTCCTCAGGGTGCATGCGTTGTATGTTGCCAGGTCGAGTCGTCTTAGGTGGCAACCGAACCTCCACCGGAGATTCTTAGCACCCCCTGACCCGCCGTTACCATGGTCGCCACCGTAGCCAGGAACAGCGGGGCCGCCGGGGACTGGGGGCCGTTTCTTTGTTACTCTCGCCATAGGGGGGTATTTGCCATAGTTGCCACGCTTGGCGAGCGGGTTGGCAACCGCAGTTTTTTTATTGTATGTTTGTTGTTATCAGGAAGATGCTGCTCCCCATCTCCTGCCTGTTTCCCTTTGTCGCCTTTTACGACACCCACGGTAAGATATGGGGTAGTGGATATTCTTAACCGCCACTACATGGCAAGAATACCAGCGTAAAATAGCAGCTCAATGCTGCTGTGTATTGTATGGTGAGAGTAGTGAACCGGAGATCTTTTTCACTGGAAACGAGGCATTCCATCTTAGTCCTCACGGGTGACAACGTATCCGCATTTTGACTCGTAATCGAGTATAGATGTAGATGTCTAAGGGCCACAGACCACTTACCACCAGATGAACTGTGTACTCGTTTATCACCCTAAACTAAACTTGTATAATACCTATATTAATATATACATATAATCAACAATAAAAATTTGTACTTACAATTTACTTGCAATGTAATATTAAAGCTTTCGTTATTCATACACCCATCAACGAGTGGACTCTCTTGAAGAGCTCCGCAAGTGTAGACACCACTGTCTTCCGGTTCCAAGGAATTAATTGTTAACAGTCCCTCGAACCCTTGACTGTTATATTTAGTCATTAGTCTATATTTCGATGGTAACAAATCCTCTGCAATTAGGGTAAAGTATAATTTTTATAATTTAATACGTAAAGTCATCGTTCGAACTTTCAACATAACACAACCTCAAAAATATACTGGCCAATTCACTTCATTCGATCTTCAGATAAAATGTATTCATAGAATAAAATACAATATTAACAAATTAAAAATTACTAATAATTAAATTAAAAATAGTCAAATTTTTATATTCCATCAGGTTATAATTTATTCGACGGATAATTTTTATCTGACGATTGAAAAATCAGCCCTTAAATGATAAAAAAATATCAATCAACCAGTAAAGACAAAAAAGTTGAACTCTTGATGATTCATATTATTGTCGTTATATAAAGTTAAATTCAAGGATTTTTAAAAATTTGATTATGCTTATTTTCGTACTACGTGTCTCTCGAAACAGGAATTTGTTTTCTTATTTTTTAATTAAAGTTATTATAAAAGTCTTCTGAAAACCTATTTTAAACAGATGACCAAGATAGTAATGATATTAACTATTAAACTAACGGTTGCAGATTCGAACCACGCTAGACACAAACATTAGATAGATTCCATCACAACATACGAATATTAGAAGACTTTCTGACAACGGAATATTTAAAAAGAATTATAATTATTAAAAATGTATGTACGTATACTCCACCAAATCTAAGAAATATCTTTTAACGTTTCATATTAATCATTACGCAATAACTTTGTATAAGCATACTTACACAATTTAAAATAACCTTTTACGTAAATACAAAGAATTATAAAGTTATCTATATTTCATTACAACATGTATAGTTTTTATCACTTATTTAAATTCGATTCTTTCAAACAAAGCTTCTTCTTTCAAAAAATATTAAAAATAACCGGAATCAACTTATTTACTTGACTTTGTTTCAATGATCTTTTATGTACCTTGTCTTAGTGTTTGTATGATTCAAATTCATGTTAATGCGAATATCGGTAAAAATATTCAAATACTCGAACCTCTATACTTTTTTTTTAATTTATTATTTATTTATTTAAATTATTTTTGAGTCGCGTAAATCATATGAATGATAAATTAAACAAGTCTAATGTTTTTATTGGAACGAAGTTCTTTATCGGACGGTACGGGTTTGTCGGATGGGAGCTAGGCGACAAAAAGTGTAAGATTTTTTCGTCACTACCCCTTGTGCCATAGTATATTATTTCAAATGACGCTTCATTTTAATAGACGCTAGTAATTCATTTATTTGTATTTGTTAATCCATAATATAATACCTACGTTTATCAATAATAATATACTACGCAAGGAACTTCGTTCCAACCGAGTGTTCCACGATATCACGCACTTTTACTTTTGTGAATCCCACTGCGGCGAAATTGCGTGTAAGTTAAAAAATGCCGTCTTGTACAAAGGTAGAAAGAATTTAAAAAAATCAGTAATAGAAAAACATAAATTTATTTAACAAATAGCGACCCGCCCCGGCTTCGCCTGCGTAGGATCTATTAATGCGGCGTCATGTAGTAGCAAAGCCCATTTATTTTATCAACTTTTCGATTTCTATAAAAAAAACTCAAGTTATTTGAATAAAACATAGCCGAGATGTGCATTGCTCTCTATCTGACCGTTAAGTTACATTACAATCGGTTTCATGACATCCATTTCGAAGATTTGTCCGGCAGACAGACACGCACAAAATTTAAATATTTATGTCTTACTAGCGATCAAAAGAAGGATGTTATTTCGATATTACAGACAGAGACTTTATTTATTAGATATTCAATTACATATTAGAACATTACGTATGAACATTCCATTCTAATAATATGCTAATGGGAGTTCATAAGCACTGATCGCATCAACAAAATATACGTTTACTTTAACTCTATATATGTGTTATTTCAAAACAAGTTTTATATTCCTGTGCACAGTAAAATTGAGTATCAGTGAAATTTTTTAATATAACCTGTTATTACGTCTCCGTCTCTGAACCAAAACAGCCTCGGCTCTGGATCTCCTCTTGCTTGGCAGGATAACGTTATGGAGCGACCTCTGTCAACGCTGACCTCTGTTGGTGTATCCACAAATTTCGACGGATCTAACAGGGAAATCACAGTTTATGCTGCTTAAAATTAAAACTTAGATTGTAAAGAAGATTTATAGCAGGGCATTAGCCACTTCTCAATTCTTCATTATCATTAAATATTTTGTTTTTATTTTTAGTACTTTTTATGTTTTGTAAAAACTCTTACTTTACTATCGGGGCAAAATAGTTCTCATAAATCTTAGATGGAGCAAATAAGTATAACGACATCTAATATCAAGCAAACCATGAAGGTAGATATAAAATTACCAATAATGCAAAGAGAGACGTTTTTCTTTATATCTCCAGAACGGCACTCCCAAACACCACTATCATCCACAATAGCATGTGAGAAAATCAACACAAGGGCTGGTACTCGGGTGCGAAATGATGATGACGGTACAAAATGCTCCTGAACGAATACTCGATTCGTTGAAATTCTTTTAACAATTTTTCCATTTGGGTCTAACCACTCCACCTAAAAATAATTCATACATAATTAAAGAAAACAAAATAAAATGTGAATAAAAGTGAAAAAAAATTTTCTCGACTTCAAAATAATGTTTTTTTGTATTGATAATGGTAATAACTTACTAAAATTCACACACTAAAACTGTATATTTACTATAAGTAATTAGTAATTAAAATAATAGACCGAGGAAATTGATATTTTTAAATTTATAATAAACATTTAAAGCACATACCTTCTGGTTTTTATTTGCAGCTTTACAACTAATGGATTTACGTATACCAGCAGGATAGTAGCTTTTGTCAGCACCATAATCAATCGGTTCTATCGATAAGCTCGTTATTTCCTTAGATTTTAGCCCATAAACTGAAAAAAATTATAATAAATAAATTTCGTAGTTTTTTTTTTTTACTTTTGTATAATTTCATTGATAATCATATGTACCTGCTCTATAAAACATATAAATAAACACTATAATGTAGAAAGTCCACTTCATTTTTATGGCTTACGCTTAATTTATGTATAAAACTTGGTAAAACGCTTTTTTATATGAAACGGTGGTAAATGGGCAACTGTGAAGTTGAAATGTGTGTGATATGGGACACGCTTCCCCATGTAGCTTTAAATTAACTAGGACGTTAATTTGACAAAGAGGAGAAAGGGGACAATTGGTTAATTTATATCCTGCACAGCACACTAAATCCCTCATTTTGTTTAATTAAAAATCATAGAAATAATGAATTTTTTTAATTACAAATAAATGATTATTTGAATAAAATACAAAAGTAGCCTATTAGTAACATTTTCAACAATAAAAAAATTAAATACTTAATGTAAGGAAAGAGGCAAACAACATTAATTAAGATTATCGTGAACAAAATTTCAAGAAACCTTATTTTATTAAAACAAGCAAATCTTAGATTAAAATTAGGTACTTATAATAAATATTTTGTATTTATTAATTAAACAGTAAAGTTAGATTTGAGAGTACCACGGTATTTAGTACAAAAAAAAATTCCATCTCAAAAATATTGCCCTATTTCCCCCGTTTTATTTTTAAACTTACTAATAATGTCACTAACGGTGTAATCGGGATGTTATACTAATTACGCTAATTCTCAAATGTTTCGGTTAGCTTTTGACGTGTAATGGAAAGTTAAATATTTATTAATTTATCAACAAATAATATATGAAAAATACAAAATATTCTACTGCTAGATAAAGAGTAAAAATAGGTATTCTAATAGCCGTGTTTTTGTTTGTTGAACTACGAACTTACGTCAGTAATATTTGATAGGCCGACCCATTCACATCTTAAGTGTCAATATTCTCTCAATTTAAAATGAATATACTACATATTCTTCTTCTTCTTAACCAGCATATAAAAGTCCATTGCTGGACTTAAGCCTCTCTACAACGGAAATGGACATGGCCTAGTGGGATTGAAGTTATTATAAAGACTGTTCGTAAGTGCTTACAAGAGAGCGATGATGGGCGGAGGCAGTAGAGTCCAAGGGGGAGGCATTGGCTGTTAGTTTGAACATTGCGAAGGCCTTCGATCGGGTTTGGCACAAAGCGCTTCTTTCGAAGCTCCCTTCCTATGGGCTTCCCGAGAAATTGTGCGATTGGATCACCAGACGGTGCATGCTCCGACTACAAGCCTATTAACGCTGGTGTTCCACAAGGCTGTGTGCTATCACCAACGCTGTTTCTTCTGCATATCAATGATATGTTGCAAACCGGTAGCATTCATTGTAATGCGTATGACAGCACTGGTGATGCTCTATACACCGGCCGTGCCAATATTTCTCGGGAAAACGTCGCCAAGTACCGGAACAAACTTGTGTCTGAAGTCGAGTCTTTGCTGGACAAAGCCTCGGATTGTGGGCGACTAAATCTAGTCCAGTTTAATCCTCAGAAGACACAAGTTTGCGCGTTTACCGCTAAAAAGAACCCCTTTGTCTCCTCAGTTTCAAGGTACTCCCCTTGTTGCTTCAGCCAGTATCGGAATTCTCGGCGTCGACATATCGAGTGGCGTGCAGTTTCGTGGTCACTTGGAAGAGAAGGCCAAATTGGCCTCTAAAGAGCTTGGCGTGCTCAACAGAGCGGGACAGTATTTCATGCCGGCACAACGTCTGCAACTTTACAAGGTGCAGGTTCGGCCTCACATGGAATACTGTTCCCATCTCTGGGCTGGGGCTCCCCAGTGCCAGCTCCTTCCACTTGACCACATACAGCGCAGAGGGGCTCGAATCGTCGACGACCGAGTCCTTTTCGATCGGCTCGACTCATTGGCGCTGCGAAGAGATGTTGCATCTCTTTGCATTTTCTTTCGCATTTACCACGGGGAGTGCTGAATGAATGAATGAATGAATGAATGAATGAATTGAATGAATTTCTTTATTTTGCAAATATGGGTGATACAGAATGTGGTGACAAATATATAGTATAGATTCCACCATATTTTACCAGAAGGCATGCAAAAATATTTTTTATCAATTTACGAAGATATGTCATTCACGATACAATATAACATTAGATTAACAAAATTAAAAAAGTCTTCAAATTATATGTAAGTCTAGTCAATCGGTACATTATTATCACTATTATTTAATTATTCATTCCATCGTCAAATTAATTACATTAATAATAATACAATTTATTAATAAATATTCACGTACACATTTTAACACAACATTTTGTCCATTAAAAATTCATTGATATTATAGTACACCTTGTCTGCTAAAAAGTTTCGTAGCCTTGTCTTAAATAATGAAGTGTTGAGATCCCTTCAACACTTGGGTAATTTGTTGTAAACAGCCGGCCCCATACAGCAGACACTGTTGCGTATTAGTGCTGTTTTTCCTTTAGGAATATAAACTCTACTATTGTCGCGTCTGTTTCTTGGGGCAATGTCTGCCAGGCACTTAAAACGGTTCTGGTTCGACTTTACAAATATTGCTATCTATACTTATAATAAAACTGTAAATAGCAGATGTCTGTACATTTTATATTTTTGTAATAAAAGTGATTGAGGGGTACTAAAAATAAGTAATTAAATACATTTCTACCATTTTTAGAATTTTCTGTGTCTGTCTGTCTGTCTGTCTGTCTGTCTGTCTGTCTGTTTGTTTGTTAACGTATCACGTTTAAAGTACTAATTTATATCATAAGAATTGTTAAGGAAATTCTAAAGTGTACCTTCGGGTTACATTTAGTCTTTATTTCATTAAAATCGGTTCATTCCATCAAAAGTTATGATAAATATTCTGAAGTATGGGTAGGGAATTTGCTCAACGGTGGCTTTGTTTGAGTCATCAAGTTGATGTTAGCAGCGCCATCTCTCTTTAATTAAATATATACATATAATAAAAATGATGATAACATGTTGTGTCTCTTTCTGTACATTGTATATATATTTTGGTGACTAAAATCGTTATGGGGAACTAAAAATAATTAAATAAGTACATTTTTATAATTTTTAGAATTGTCTGTCTGTCTGTTTGTCTGTTTTTATATGAATGCATCACGTCTAAAGTAAACATCTTTTTTTTTTCAAAGAAATCGTTAAGAAAATCATAAAGCGTATCTTCAAGTTACATTTAATCTTTGTTTTATTAAAATTGGTTAATTCTATGGAAAGTAATGATTATTATTTTAAAATGTAGGTTCGAATTTGTTCAATGGCGCCATAAAAATCTCAGAAATAGTAATAAAAAGATTTGTGTGTAAAAAAACGTTCCATAATAATTAATATATTTATACATAAAACATAAAACGAGATTTAAAAAAGGATGTTTTCTCACACAAAGGACGTAATAGATGGAGTTGTACAAATTACAAACTTTTCTGATTTGCTGTGTTGAGATTTTTCGCCGATGAATCGTATTGAGACTTACTGAAGAAATTTGTATCTATCGAAGCCATACAACGGAACCCGAACAAAAATAACAAAATTGCAACGAAATGTCGTGATATTGTATTTATAATATACGCAAAATCAGTACTGCCATTTTAGCGCTTTGGGAACTAGATTTAGCGCTTTTTTGGAATGTATTGCGCGCATTTCGAAATTTTAGCACCTAGCACTTAATCCAGCGCTTTTTGGTTTATTTAGCACACTTTTCAAAATTGTAGCGACTAGCGGGTTATTAACTCTTTTATAGCAGCACTGTTAGTCCACATTACCGATAATAATAATAATGACCTTTATTATTTTTTTCCACAAATAGTACATTGCAGTTTATCTTTTTCAAACATATTTTTTCCACAAAACAAAGAGCATGGGAGACGAGTCCAAACTAGGATAACCTGTGCTATGGATCTCCCGGCTTACCCTTTAGGATGATCAACTTGATTTTTTTTATCGACGACTATAAGCGGGGAAATCCCCTTCATTAAAGTTTTCGTTCATGGTTTTGGCAACGCATTTATTTTGCTTTATTCAGTTTTAGTCAGTTATTTAGAGCACAGCTAAGTTAAAAGTTACTTAGAGTAGTACTAACTACTGTTGACAGCAATTGCCATAATTATAAGTCGATGTCCTGCGAAGTATTGATACATCAAAAAATATTGCCAGAAAAAAACTTAATGTTGTTTTCTTTATTATTATTAAATTTTCTTGAATTATAAATTATAATAAAAAACACAAACTTTGTTTGTAGTTAATTTAGCGCGAAATCTAGGGCTTTTTTAAAGCGCTGTTTTCATGAAATCTAGCGCTTTTTGTGTTGTCCTAGCGCTGAATGAGTTTTTTTGATCTGGCAGCACTGCCAAAAAACCCTCTATTAAGAAGTAACTTTCCTTTCAATTTTAAGCGCGTTCAGTTCCCAGTTACAGTCAGCGTGTGTTATGCGATGACCGTAAATAAAGCGCAAGGTCAAAATTTACGCGTTGTAAGAGTGGACCTCAGTACTGACTGTTTTGCACATGGCCAACTCTATGTTGCTTTTTCCCGCGTTAGTAGCCCCCGTAAACTTTTTGTGTACACCCCAGCTAAGCCTACTTCTAACGTCGTTTACACAGAAGCTCTATCATAAACTACATAGAACTTTGATGATAATGATTTATTTAGTTACCACTTATTGATACAGTAATGATATAAATCGTTTAATATTCTCTTACCTAAACGACAAATTCTTTATGTAAAATCTATATACGCGAGCTACGCCGCGGGCACAGCTAGTCTCTAATATACAGGGTGTTTTTGGAACGCTCCCGAAAACTAAGACAGGCGACAACACCAAGTATACCTTTGATCATGGGTCACAAATAAATTCGATCCTGATGAAAAAAAAATCATCTTTTTACAAGGTTTTATTAGCTTTATTCACGCGCCATCATGTTAGTACAGCTAAATGAAACGATAATTTCATAAAAAATATCATGAAAATACTGAAACATAAAACCAGCAGTGGAATGACTGAATTGATATCACCTGACCTGAGCTAGATAAAGGTCAATGTACGCGCGAACACAAATTCGCGCGGCCCGCAACTAGCGGGCTTTCCAACAATACCTAATAATTTACAACACGTGTCTAAATACCTAACTTATCTACTTAACCTACTATTTTGCCACTGGGCTTATCTCC